TTCCGTGTTTTGAAGTATGTTTTAATTTGATCTAAAAGTGTAATATTCACGATGGCTCCATCAACAGAATCAGCTTAGTTTGCATGCTTTGAAAAGTATTCTTTCCCTTAGCACACTATCTATCCTATTTACCTCTTAAATTATAGTAAAAAACTCTATGAATTTCTGTATCACTGATTTAAAAATCGCCCTTGCACTTTTACTTAGTTTTTTTTTTTGCATAATGAGCGAAAGGGTTGAAGCGACGTCTTGCTTGATATTATTTTGTCAGCTTAAACGTCACTTCCTCACTGCGGTCTATCAAGTTAAAAATTTACGATCGTAAAAACCTGTACATGTAGGCAAATCTATGCTCATAACAATCAAAATTAAGTAAATTTCTAATCCCAGCCCACACAGTGTAATTGCACATCACGCTCGAAAGTTGCAGACGCATAAAATTTGCACAGAGGTTGTTAGCATGTGTCAGCAGATTAACGATCCTTTCGTCGCTCTTAACCCGTAGTACCAGTGAGGAAGGGGAGGGGGCGGGGACGCGTCCCACAAAATAGGTCTCGAAATAAAAATTCGCACAGGTTCTGCATTGACAAGAAAACTCACATCTATTTATTAACATCAAATGCCACCTATAAAAAATTCTAAAAATGGTCAAATAGGTCAAAAAGGGGGGTGATCCTAACCCGCAGATGTCATATCCCTTCAATCTTCCCTTCACACCCAACTCCGCGGAAGCTTACTGCGAACAATACCTATTAGATTTATATTTTGTGAGAGCGAGGAGTTTTATGTATAATTGTTAAATTAATGGCATATGAATGCTGCTGCTATACATGTTCAGTCCATTATATTAGCTGATTACAATTGTCCTATATTTTTTTCCAAAAAGACGCAACTTCTTCCCAGATTCTTCCTGGGAAAAATACTCCAGACTTGCGTAAAATGATGCTTGCCTTCTATATAGCTGTAGAATAGAGTATGCAGTTTCGTAGCGCAGTAGAAAGACTTAGTGGTCAGTCATATCGGTGCCAATGCTTACGCAATGCTCCGCTTTCAGAACAACTCTGATCTGACTGCCTGCCACACACGAGCTCTTTCCTCTTCAATTACGAGTATGTACAATCTTCGCCACATGTGATCTGCCTACTCCTTCTCACCTGCCCGCCCGCTCGCCCCAAAACACAGCACACAAGCCCATACAAGGTTTCAAGCACTCTTAATGCACTCAATCCTAAGTTTCGTCGTGTTGTCCAACTTTTGTGCAGCTTACCCGCTTGCCGTAATGAACAAAACTGATGGTCCTGACTAAATTTAATTGTCATGGCGAATCGTTAAGTTTACCTCTACCCAGTCCTTAGGACGTAACCTGAGCATCTGAGCAGCTTAATCCTTGTTCACTCGCGGTTTTCACTTGGTTTAGTGGTTCTGTTTGGAGTAGATCAATGAGTTCCTAAATGTCACTTGGGAAAGCTTGGCACTGGCTCACACTTGCACTTTTCAGCACCGGCACAATCTAGGTGGAACCATCAAGCGCCAGCCCCTTTTACAGCTGCCAGGCCCAGGGATGACGACAACTATCACGAGATCAATGAGTTCACCAATCGACAGCTTAAGGTTTGAATATTACTCGTAAACTTTGAATTCTCAAAATTTTTGCTTCTTCTTTAGCGAGTCACTCCTCCGCGGCAACCACACACTAACGCGATTCGCCATTCTCCGCAAAGCTTTGTGACCGAATATACACCTCCGTATCCCTCAACTCAACCACCATCTCATCCACCTGGAAGGAATGGTAAAAGAAGAAACTCACATGGGGAGAATTTTTAAAGGTCAAAAATGCTAGTAAATTCTTCCAGGATCATCTACATCATCTCAAAACGGCGGTTACTATTCCTCCAACAGCTCCGGTGT